AACCATAGTTCAAGTCTCAGACCTGGTGGCTTGCTTTCTTGCTTCCTCTCTCTCTCTCTGTCTCTCTCTGATCAAACTGGAAAATAATAATGATAATAATAATAAATAAAGTTAAATAAAATAATCCTTAAAAATACTTTTAAAATTATTTAATTTTATTAATTATTATTATTATTCAGTTTAACCAGAGAGAGGCAGAGAAAAAGCAAGTCACTAGGTCCAGAACTTGAACTGCAGTCGGCCATGTGAGATTCCAGCGCCCCAACCATGTCAACTGCTGACCCCTTTAAAAGTATTTCATTTCATTTTATTTATTATTATTATTTTAAAATTTGACTAGAAAGATAGAAAGGGAAAATGGGAAAGCAAGCCGTCTGGTCCAAGACATGAACCACAATCAGCCTTCCAGGAGTCTAGCGCCTTAACCACCATGCCACCTGTAGGCCCCTTCATCCCCATTTTAGAGAGAAGAAAGATGGAAGCTTCAAGAAGAGAAGCAATTATACAAAAACTTGTATAAGAATGTTCCTGGCAGGGGCTGGCGACAGTGCAGCAGGCCTGACCCACGTGCATGGGCTCTGGTTTGCATCTGAGAGCCTCCCTTAGTGCACTGGGCACGTGTGCACCCTGGGCTTGGGCTAGCTGAAGCTGGGGATGAATTGCAGCTTCCAGACCCTCTTTGAGGGATTCTCTCTCTCTCTCCTCTGTCTCGCTCACTCATGGAAGAAATAAATTTTAAAAATATAGCAGTGCCGGTGTGGCGGTTCAGGTGGCTGGATCTCCACGTAGCCAACCACATGGTTTGGGTCCTCGACCCACAAGCTCGAGCAATGCACCATGTGCGTGTGCGTGAGTACCCAAATCCTGAGAGGAGAATGTGGAGACGGGATTGCGGAGTGGCCGTCTTCCCAGGGTGTGCTCTCTCACTTTCTCTCTCTCTCTCCTTCTCTGTCTTTTTTAGGTGAATGCATGTGCCCTATAGGAAAAACAAACAAACAAATAAATAGGTGCCATTCACAGTCGCCAAAAAGCGGAAACAGCCCAAGTGAGTCCTGGCAGAAGGACCAATAAGCAAACCATGGCCTAGCCACACAGCAGAGCTTGCTTGGCCGCGAGAAGGAGGCACTGAGCCATGTCACAGGGCCCACCCTGAAACACGCTCCTGGAGGAAGTGGGACATGAACGGCCACATGCCACATGATCCCATTCATGTGAGTCGCCCAGAACTGGCAGCCTCACAGACAGAGCGCAGGAGAGCAGTGGCCAGGGGCCGGGGGGCGCAGGATGAGTGTGGCTGCAGTGGGGAGAGTTTCTTTGGGGATGTTCTAAAACTGACCGCGCACCTTAGCAGGTGAGTTTGTGGTATGGAAATGATGTCTCAATAAACTTGTCACCACATAAAGACAAGTAGCAATGTTACTTACGACAACACTGCTGAGGAGGCGGCAGGTACCAGGCCCTGCCCCTTGGGGCGCCTGGCCATCCCACCTGGTAAAGCTGGCAGGGGGTGGGACAGCAGCTCTCTCTTTCTCTCTCTCTCTCTCTTGGAAGCAGGGCTGTCCTGTTCTCTCCAACTGCAAAGTTTCCCCAGGCCTGATTTGTGCCTGGCGGTGACAGTACTGGGAAGTGGGGTGGGGTGGAATGGGGAGGAGCAACCCACTGGTTACCAGGGAGAGCTGGGGCCTGCTGGGCCATCCGGGCCTCCCACCCAAAGGCCCATTGGCCTCGGCTCCCAGGCTTCACACTAAGCGAGCAGCAGGGATGGGGGAAAGAGCTGGTAACCCAGGGCTAGGGTGGAAGGCAGCCTCCCCTGACTCCTGTCCCCACAGTGGGCTCCGAAGTTGCACCCAGACCAATGGCAGAGGGCAACAGAGGGAAGGCAGAGGGAGGCAGAGGGCGGCAGAAAGGAGGCAGAGGGAGCAGGAGGAATCACAGCAGCAACCACAGGCCCCAGGGGCAGAGAGACCAGGCGGTGGAGGCAAACTCCGGGATGCAGTGGGAATGGGCTACCTCCCACTCCTCACTCCAGCCTGGGCTTCCGCACCAGGGAAATGGGATTACAGAGCCCTCCCAGGGCCCCTTTGAGAATGAAATGAGAGGGATGAAGGAAGCACTGAGGAGGTAGGGCAGAAGCTTGCCACACAGGGCTTGGGGGAGAGGGGAAGCAAGGCATTGGGTGTGTGGAGGGGCACTCAGCGGAGCTGGCCCAACCCTCCTTTCACGCTCACCCTCTCTGCTTCCCTAAGGATCCAGCCACCAGCTGGGTCCCTGCCCCACCCCTCACAGCTCCATAGGTCTTTTTTCTTTTTTTTAGGTTTCTGCTTCCTCAAGGTGGAGAGACAAAGAGAGACAGCCATTCTCCTCTCAGGATTCTGGGCGCTCACACGCTCACAGTGCCTAAAGTGATTTTCAAGCTGCCAGGGTTGGAACTTGAACCACGGTCAACCATGGTGGAAGCCCAGTGCCTTAACCACCACACCCCTAGGTTGTTATTTTTTAAGTTTTTTTTGTCTATTAAATTATTTATTTTGGAGAGATTTTTGCTATAGGGTTCTTGTGCTCACCAGACAGGCAGAGAGAGACAGAGAAAGAGAGAAATCACCCCCCCAGGGAGGTGGGCCACACCACAATCCCTTCTTCTCCATCCTTCTCTCAGAATTTTGGGTACACACATACATGTGCCTGGCATGACTTTTAAGCCGCTGGGTCTGGGACTCGAACCATGTGGGAGTCTACCTTAGCCAGTATGCTGCCTGTTGTTCCCTTAAGTTTATTTACTTTTATTTTTTAAACTATTTTATTTATCTTTATTTATTTACTTATTTTAATTTGACCAGAGAGGAAGAGAGAGAGAGAGAAAGTGGGACAGCAAGCCTCCAGGTATAGGACTTGAACTGTGGTTGGCCATGTGGGAATCCACGCCATTAACCACACCACATGCTGGCCCTCCTTAAGTTTATTTTTTTACTTGACAGAGAAAGAGAAATCCCACCAGGTTTTTTACACCCTGATGTACCCCTGGTCTCACCCAGCCCAGGTCACGAGTACACAAGGAGGCCCCAGGACCTGAACCCAGGACCTACCTCTCCACTTGTATTCCTGGTGTGCCACCTTAAGGCTGGTGCTAGTATTACCCCATGTGCAGATGCTAAGGCTTCAAGAAATTAAATCATTCCCTCAAGGCCGCAGAGCATTTGGTATCTGAGCCAGGATTTGAACCAGGACAACCTGACTCTGGATCTGGGAGGTCCAGAGATAAGACCTCGAGAGCTAGGCCCTGCCTTGCTGTTGACCTGCTGCGTGACCTAGGTCAGGGCCTGTCCTTCTCTGGACTCTGCCAGGGCGCTGGGTTTGGAGGAGCCGTGTGATGCCCAGCAGCCTGGGAGAACAAGGGTGCAGGGCAAGCCTCCAGGCCAGACTCGCGCCAGGTGCCGCAGCTGGGAATGAAGGTGAAGAGGGGCTGTCACGTCTGAGTGCCGTGCCCCGTGCAGGAGGCGCTATAGGGATTATTTTCTACTTTCCAACCCCTCAGTAGCCCTAAAATACTGAAGTTACCTTCGTTTCCATTTCCACATGAGAAAGCTGAGGCTCAGAGAGGTTAAGGGACTTGACCAAGGTCACACAGGAGGTAAGGGACAGAGCTCTGACTTGTCTGATGGGAAACACGTGCTGTTCTGTGAGCATACATTCTGTTCCTGGTTCAGCCCAGACGAGGCTGTCATTTTCTCAAAAGAACTTTCCATGAAAAACTAAGGGGGAAAATAAGCAAGGGCCGAGAAATAGTTGTTGGTAGAACATTTGTTTGAACTCAAGCAGTGCTAAAGGCCAGCCCCGCAGGGATTCGGTGCATCGTCCCCGTCTGGAGGCATCTCCTGCCCAGAAAACTGCCCTTCAGAACCAGCAGTGGGGGACCTGGGCTGCTGGGTGAACCATGCCTCCACTGTACCCTGGCTAACTGACCCGCCCTCCCTGAGCCTCGGTCTCCTCATCTGCCAAGTGGGGTAATGGCGGTGCCCTGCTGAGACTGTCAGGGAAGCCGAGGGCCGGGCCGGTGTCCACTGCTGATCCTCGGCCAAGTCCGTCTCCCTTCCCTGAATGGAGGTCAAACCATGCTGGCCGATGGTGCAGACGGAGGGGTCAGGGGAGGGGAAAACAAGGCCCGGGGCTGTTTGGAGATAACGCGCATGCAAGCAGGGACCTGGTGACCACAGCCGGAGCTGGGGCCCGGCTGCCATTCTCAGCTCCCCCAGGAGAGCAGGGTGGAGATGGCTGTCATGACCCTTGCTTGACCGTGAGAATTCCCCTCAGCCTGGGCTTACCAGGGAAGGGAAGCTGGCCCAGCCCGCCCTGGTCCAGATGAATAATGAAGCTCAGCCCAACCCTCCTCCAGGTTGTCACAAACAACATGGAACTGGAAGAAAACGGAGTGCCAGACATGGGGGCGATAGCCAGCAGGGAGCCAGCCTGCCTTCGGGCTGCCCAGGCCAGCGTGGGGGACAGGCACAGGCTGGATGGCGGCGTGGGGTGTCCCAGTCACGGCATTGATCCTAAACCACATGCCAAGCTCTGTGCCAGGCCCTGCACCCCATTTCCTCGCTGATTCCTCGCGGGAGCCCAGTGCCAGTTACCACCAGCACTGATTCTTCAGACGGAAGCTGAGGCTCAGAGGGGCGAAGAGGCCGGCAGCCCTTCTGCTGCCTGGAGGTGTCTGGGCATGGGGTATGCCCAGTGGCTTTGGTCAGGAGGCAGGGAGGTGTGGACCAGCAGCTCCTGCCCTCCCTGGAGAGGGAAGAGCAGAGTGTGGAAGACCTGGGGAGCCAGGACTCGGGGTTCTATTTCTGGCTTTGTGCTGACTCAGACCATGACCTTGGGTGAGTCACTCGCCAACTCTGTTAAACTTAAAAACAACTCCCCCAGGAAATATGGTTCAGCCCCAAGCCCCCTTTATGGGGGACCACATGGGGAGGCCTGGGTACGGTGACCTGAAAATAGCGAGGGCAGGGGATGCCAGGATAAAGATGGAAGGGCCTTTTGAACGTGGGGGGCTTGGCCATTGCGGCATCCTGGGAGGGGGAGGAAACAGCCTGGAGACCCTCAGACGGAAGCTGGTACTGGCAGGCTCCTCCCGCCCAGCCTCCCAGACACTCCCTAAAACACAGACCTGACCACCG